GCTGGTGGGGGTTTTCATTCAAACAGCCTCACTCCACTCCCTGGCACCAAGAAGTTTACAACCTTATCACAATGCAAAATGCATTCAGACCAACTTCAAGAGTCCCCACAGTCTTTCAGTCAAGACTTTTTAATTTCTTTTTTTTAAAATATATTTATTTATTTATTTATTATGTATACAATTTTCTGTCTGTGTGTATGCCTGCAGGCCAGAAGAGGGCACCAGACCTCATTACAGATGGTTGTGAGCCACCATGTGGTTGCTGGGAATTGAACTCAGGACCTTTGGAAGAGCAGGCAATGCTCTTAACCACTGAGCCATCTCTCCAGCCCGACTTTTTAATTTCTTGAGACAAGGTTTCTCTGTGTAAACAACCATGCTGTCCTGGAACTTGATTTGTAGACCAGGCTGGCCGCAAGCTCACAAAATCCACCTTCTTAACTGCAATCCCCTTTAAAGTGAAAATCAAATTATATACTTCCAACATAAAATGACACAGAATGTACATTACTATTCCAAAAGGGAGGAAGGGGGACACAGTGAAGAAATCCTGGACCAAAACAAAAACTAGCATGGTAAGCTCCAAAACCTGTTGATCTGTGTCTGATGTCAAAAGACTTAGATGACTCTTATGCTTGTTACTAACTTGCTCTTACAACTGAACCCATATTTCTTATCTATATACTACCTCTTGGCTTGGTACCTTTTTTCAGAGCTTCTAGTTCATATCGCTTTTCTTTGAATCTCCTGGTGACTCCGGCTTTCTTCTTCCCAGCCTTCTCTCTTCCCCGAAAATCCTGCCTAGCTATTGGCCAGTCAACTATTTATTAACCGGTGAAGGCCCCGTAGTGGTGGCGCACGCCTTTAATCCCAGCACTCGAGAGGCAGAAGCAGGCAGATCTCTGTGAGTTCGGGGCCACCTTGGTCTGCAAAGTGAGTTCCAGGAAGAACATGTGCCCTGAAAAGAGCAAGAGAGCATCACAGTTGTCTCACTCTAAGGAATCTGCAGTTATGCGAGAAAATTAAATAAGAAACTGCCTTATTCCAGGTCCACAGAGATAAGTGGGATTTCAAAAGCCAAGCATGGGGTATAGGTCTGAACCTGCATTTTCTCTCCTTCATGCCTAGCTACTCAGGTTTCAGTCTCTGTGGGTTCTGTTCAAACCTGGAAACCCACCCCCAAGCCTGACAAACCCACTTTGATCCCTTAGCCCTACATATGAGAAGCTGAGAACCAACTCCTTTGACCTCCACAGACAGGCTATGCACATCTGAACCCACCCCTACTCACAAAAACCATGTAAACAAATGTAATTTTAAAAATTAGGAATGCTGCTCCCTGGTGGAGACCTTGGGTTTATGTTGGCCAAGGCCTATGGGGTTTCTGTGCCCTATGCTGGCCTTCCTTGTAGTGCCTGGTCAGGTGGGCAGAGTGGGTGGTTTGTCAAAATGCCAGCCGTCACAAGGACTGTGTGCTAGGGAAGGGGTGGGAGAGTTGAAACAGGTCGCTACACTTCCCAGGCTGGCCTGAAACTTGGGCTTCCTGCCATCTCCTCCTGGTGCTGGGGTTACAGACTTGCACCTCATTCCTGCTGACCCTGACTCTTGGAAGGCCATGTGTGGAGTCTGTTTGCATTTGCACTGTCAGAATGTTCTCTGATCAGTGGAGTGAACAAAATCCACCCGTGTCGCTGTGGGAGTGGCTTCCCTCTGGTTTCTTGCTTGGCTGCCCTTGAATCATCAAAGAGCATGAAACATGATCTGAAACTTGAACTTTCCTTTGAGGTTCTCTTACTTTACTGCTGGAGATATCGGGCCTCTTCTTCCTCTCTGTTGCTTATAGACCCTGGGCCTTCATTTGAATCCACAGTTGGTGGTAGGAATTTCTACTGCTTGGTTCAGTCAGAAATGCTTAACATGGGGAAGATTAGACTATTCCTGGGACATGGGCTGTGGCAACACGCACGCTGGGGGTGCAGACGTTTCAGGGTGTTAGTTCCCTGAGTGAAGAGAGAAACGGGAGGAACTGTGTGAGCAGGAAAACAGATCCTGGCTGGAGGATCTCAGACAAGAGCAGCAGAAATGGGAGTGTACAGGAAAAAACTGTGTGGACAGGAAAATAGACCCTGGCTGGAGGATCTCAGACAAGAGCAGCAGAAATGGGGGTATAGCATCTGTACCGTGTCTTATAATGGTGAGCATATGCACATGCTGTGATGGGTGTCTGTTCCTGGGGGCACCCAGCAGAAACACTTGAAGAGGTTGAGTGGATATTCTGAGTCGGTTAGTAGAGGATGCATGCGCCATTTTATAAATAGGGAGATTCTGTATGGTAATGACTGTGGGAATGACTTGCTGTGGCAATGAGTTTGTTTAAAATTATTTTTTTCCTTAAGTTATTGTTACAGAAAGTTTCTAGTTCCATGAATGGCCTTAACCAAGCTTGAGTGGTGAAGGCTGGGATGTTGGGCTTTGTAGGGTCTCTAGGCCCATAGATACTGCCTCCTAGGGCTCTCAGTGGGCACACTGCCTCACCAGAGGACAAGGACCAGGTACCTGGATGTTGTGAATTCCTGATAAGAGCCGAGTGACTGCTGGGAGAGCGGTGGTTGAGCAAGGGTGAGCACACATTTGAGCTCAATCTTTGTTTTGTAATATTTGTAGCCGCTTGCATTATCTGTCAGTGCAGCCGCTTGCATTATCTGTCAGTGCTGAGAGCACAGGACTTCCCTCATCCCTGTGTTTGCTGACCTGATGGATGTGTGTTGAGTGTCATTACACACACCTTTAAAATTACACTTTACTTACTGTGTAGGTGTTGGTGGTGAACTGTGTGTGGTGGTGTGGGCACAGAGGTCAGAAGACAAGTTCAGTAGTTGTTTCTCTGCTCCGCTGCGGAGGGTCCCAGGATAGGCGGTACCCGATGAGCCATCGTGCTGGTCTGTTGACTGTCACTCTTGCCCTACAGATGAGGACAGTGTTGGAAGCGCAGTGGTGGCTAAGGAATTTATATGCTGTGTTTGGAGGAGTGTCCCCTGGAGAGGAACTGTTGAGAGTCTTCATGTTATGGATCTGACAGGGAAAGTGGAGCCATCAACAAGGTGGTAGATGAATGCTGGAGCTTTAGGCTCCAGTATAAGTGTACGTTATAGGGCACTAGCATAGAACAAAATCTGGCTACCAAAAAGTCTGTTTGAGGGATGATTGGGGTCTGTCTGAGGGATGATTGGGGACCCTGGATGTCCCCAGGTGTAGACTTTACTCCAACACCTTGGCAGTGACTTTTGTTTCTGAACTTTTTCTTCCAGATAGTAAAATGGCCACTCTACTTTCAGTCTGACTGCTCTCCTGGGCAGGAAAGGGAGATGGTGGAGTATGAATTCTCTTTCCATCCTAGCACAGGGCCTGGCCAGTCCTGGAGCCTAGGATGTTCAGCTACCAGTAAGTTGTCACTAGAGCCAAACTGTGACATTGCCAGTGGTGAGGACGAAGAAAACAGCATTCAGTAGAGGTCTGGCGTAACAGAACCCAGAGGGCTGGAGGACGGGCTCTGCACTGGGTTCAAGACAGGGCTGCAGACTCTCCCAGTTGAGTATGGCACCCTCTATACTACAGATAGCAAAGTTCATAGGGTGAGCACACAGAGGCAGGAAGTGTGTACATCCTTCACTATACATACAGAATATTTGACATGAGTCAGGCACATGCAAACATGGAAGTATCAATAAGGGTCCTAGTGAGGTGGAAACCATGGTATCCAGAAGGACATGGAGCTGGATGCTAATACCTGCAGTGTGCCTCGGAAAGAGGGATGGGGTGGAGAGACACTTGCAGAAGTCCTAACTTTGACTCTCATCACCTGTATGGTGGCTCACAACCCTCTGTAACAGAGATCTGCCTGCCTTTGCCTCCCAAGTGCTGGGATTAAAGGTGTGCACCACCACCCAGCGGTGGTGTTTCAGTTTTCGTTGTTTGTTTTTATTGTTTGAGTGCTGAGGCTCAAACCTCAGGCCTTGTGAATGGTGGGTAAGCACTCCACCAAAGACCTGCATCCCAGTTCTGATGAGATTAAGCAGGTCAAAGACGAGACCCTGCTCAAAGCCAGAACTAGGGGAATACCAACCTCCCCAGGAGGACGGGATGGGATAGCTCTGCTTGAAACTTTAAGAGTGGTAGACATCTCATTGTAGACACTGTAGCATGGGTCTGAATGTCCTCGGGCCAAGCTTTGATGACTTTGACTAGTGTTTGTCTGGAAAGTTGCATGAACTTGTCCTGGGCCCTTGGAAAACCTTAAACCAGGACAACAGGTAGAGGTGCTGTCTGACATATTCATCCATCCACCAAGGAAAAAATGGGCCTAGGTAGCCACGGTCTATGGATAATGAATCAGTAGAGACCGTAAAGGATATGAAAGAGGAATTAAAAGACCAAAATGAGAACAGGCCAATTTGAAACAGAAACAAATAGGACTTTGATGAATTAAAAACTCAATGTGGTGAGTCAGCCTTATAGAAACTCTGGATAAAGTACCCAGGGTATCTGTGGAAGGTGTGGACAAACAGCCAGGCCTGAAAAGTTAAGGAAGAACTGTGAGCACCTTCTGTTCCTGGGTGTTTCCTGGTGTCTCAGGGCTGACCTGATGCAGACTGTCATTAGAGACCAGGGGCAAAAGGAACTCCAGGTCTGGGTTGAGCTGAGCCAATCACGGAAGAATCAGCCTGGCACCTCCCAAGGTCCTTCTACAGCAGAATAAGCAAAAAACAGAGTCTTTGGAAGACAAGAGAGGAAACAGAGACAGGAGGGCCCTGTCAGCTTGTGGAACAGCTAGCTCAGCAGTGGACCACAAACAAGGTACCAGTCAGGCCCAAGGTTGCTCTCTGACCTCCACGTGTGTCTTCCCTTAAACACACTCAGGTGCACGCATGCATCATAGACAGGTTACTAAAGAATATGAGATACCCAAAGTTAGTAATGCGACTTCTTTTCTAACGTTTCAGCCTTTGCGTCCTCACTTTGCTGGAAACAGACATGTTGGGGTCCACGTTCATGCAGACCAGGACCGCTGCCTGCTCCTCCAGCTGCGTCCCTCTGCTGGGGCAGTCACTTTGATCCATGTGGTCCATCCTTGAGGTTCACTTCCCACAAGACCCCTCAGCATGTCATCAGCAAAATCCCAAGCACCAGAGGAGGCAGTGCCTGGCTGCGAAGGGCAGCTGAAAGGAAAGTCACTTCTCACCTGGGGCCCCCTTTTTGGTCACCGGAGTGAGAAGATTGTCTTTACCAAAGGTGATGGAAGTCCAGAGGAGAGCCTGCTCACCGTCACCATCACGGAGACCACTGTCATTGAGTCGGACTTGGGTGTGTGGAGCTCAAGGGCTCTCATCTACCTCACGCTGTGGTTCTTCTTCAGCTTTTGTACGTTGTTCCTCAACAAGTACATCCTGTCGCTGCTAGAGGGAGAGCCCAGCATGCTAGGTAATGCTGCCTGCTGGATATGCTCTCCTGTTGTAGAGGGAGAGCCCAGCACGTTAGGTAATGCTGCCTGCCC